GTTACGCCACAACCCTTTCGTCTTTGACCTAGACTGCAAGTGAGCACCTCGACATCGAACTTCTCAATGAATCCCGTAACTTTTTTTACGAATAATTAATTGTTGTTGTATTTCCTTTTCAGTGATTATTTTGTTTGCTTTGCACCAATCTCAGTTGCTGAGTCTCGTCCTAATCGAGGTGAAAAAATAGAGCTGTGATAACGTTGTCACGTTTTTACTTGGTCAAACATTCCATGATATGTTGCATTTGAGTTAGAAGTAAGCATCGTCCAACTTTTGAGGTGTGCAATATCCGAGGCATATGACCTAGCGCATCCCTTTCGAATTCATTTATTTTAACTGCTTGACTGCCGTACGAAGAATTGTGGACTAAATGAGGATTGAGGCTTAGTTAGAGGTACAGCAAGGTATGCTGTATGGATTCAATTCAGCTAATACTAGTACACACTTGACCTCAGATGTACTATAGTTTATTGCTGTCCAGTATGGATTCAAACCACAAAATGAATCTTTACTGTAACAAAATATTGGCCTAAACCTCTCCTGTGATTTCTGTTTCGATATGGGGAATAAAAGTAAATTTATCGCGGCACTTCGATTATCAAAACGAAAAAATTCTAGAGTTGGCCTTAAGTACAATAGTTGTGATCATGTTCAGCATATAATTTCCAGTGAATTTAATTTCGTTTCAATCAAAATATTTCTTTGATGTCATTAAAACCTAGCTATTCATTACAGTGATTTTGATGGGAGATAAAGAGGCACAACAGGAAGAGCTGCAATCAATTGACGCAATTTTCGGTGATTTAGTCCATTTGGAATCAACTTCTCGAATAAATGTACAGTTCGCTGATGATATTCAACTAACTATCGATTTGCCTCCCGATTACCCGTCTCGGTAAAGGTCTATCGCTCTTTTCAAAATATCCCTCATGTTTTTCTAGTGAAAGTATACGTTCAGCTGGAGCAATTTTTATTAATTTTCAGTTCTCCTCCTTCATTCGAATTGAGCGGACCCAGGTTGAAAGCATACGAACGGACGGAATTATCTAATAAACTACAGGAAATATACGTGAATAGTATTGGTCAGCCCGTTTTATACGATTGGATCGAATGTGTTAATTCACATGTACTAGAAAAAACCGAAGGTCCTGAACCAGCTGACTCATCCATTGAGGAATTACCTTCAAGTAGTGGTGAAGTTTCATTTCCGGATATAATGGTACCGAAAATTATTAGTGGTGATATTTTAACGGATCGAAAGAGCACCTTTCAGGCTCATCTCGCTGTTATAAACTCTGAAAATGAGGTAACTTTATTTACATTTGTATCATAAAATGTATAGCATAATTGTTTTTTCATACGTTTTGTTCTTATGAAGAAAGTGCGAAATTTTCTTCCTAAGAAAGATGACTCTTTGAAATTAGACAATTCTGTAGCAGTTCGTAGTCGAGCTTTTTTACTTGCGATGGTAGTGCAGCTAATTTCAAATGCAGAAGGGAAATTTATTGCAGGCAATGTTGGTGCTTAACAGGTTGAAGGAAAACAGTAAGATTGCACGAGCCACACATAATATGTACGCCTGGCGAACCCAAGAGGAAACTGGTGGTCACATTATCAATAGGCACGATTGCGAGGTTCCTTTGATTTCAAAACTATGTTTTTTCCTACTTTTCATCTGCAAATGTTCTTTTTGTCAGGAACGTAGAGTAATTATGGCTGTTATGAGTTAATTTTTTGTTGAATAGAATGACCCTTCAGGACGATGGTGAACATGGTGCGGGATCGAAATTGTTGCATCTGTTAGAGTTAATGAAGGCGACAAACGTAATGGTGATAGTGTCGCGTTGGTATGGTGGAATTCATTTGGGCCCTGATCGGTTTCGACATATTTGCAATAGTGCTCGTGAGATACTCTCTCAGAATGGTTTCTCGAATCGTTAACCATGAAAATTTTAGATTGTCTTCATTCAAGAATCTCCCTCATTTTCGGTCAATTAGGTCAATTCTAAATCTCGTAATTATATCCATCATAGATACATTTTCGTATTTTTAAGCCAGCTTAAATTGACTATTGTTGTTAAATTATCAGTCAACAAAAACGTTTCATCCTCCCATAGATTCTTTCTTTGAGGATTTGCTCAAAACATTCTCATATTCTGATGCAAAATGCTGTGTTATTTCCATCTAAAATCATTTCCATTCTTGCGATTTTGCTGTAAAATCTAATTCTCATTAATAAATTTAACATCTTCACGATAACTACTTTTCTGTTTTAACGTTGGTCTGTTTGTTGCGATACACTTGTTATTCCTGAAGTGTATAATTTATTTTGTAATCAGCAATATGCTCTTTCATATTTTGGGCGTTTTTCCCTCGGAAATTTATATACGCCATCGAACTATTCCGTTTAACGCGTTTTGTGTAATTTGTTTCCTTTTTAAAGAAATGTTGTGTAAGTATAAGAGGAAAGTGTGCGTGTAAACTTTGTTGGTTTTATGATGAATTGTTTGTAGAGTTGTTGATAATCGGATTTTAGTGCTGAGATTGATGCAAAACAATTTTGAGATCAGCGATTTGCTCTCAATCAGAGCGTCTTACTTTGTTTGTAAGGCATATGATGAGTCGATATATCAGATATTTACACTTCAGCTTAGGTTCTTCAAAACATCTCAAAAGTACAGCTGGATTATCTTGTTTATTTTGTTGTTGTAGAATGTGTGACCTGAACTAAAAAATGTTTTTGAAAAGGTAGGTGTTGATTTTTGAGAGCAGATCCGTTAGCATCATTCTGTTTTTATTTTTATCTTCATTTCACAATCGTATCTTTGTCAGGTTAACATAACTGGTGAACACAACTTCAGCAGCTGGTGAATCTATTTTGGTTTACTTTTTGTAGTATTTTGTCTTAATTTTAATACTCTGTATTGTCGGATTTATTTACGCTTGTACGATTTTTGTTTTTTTGCTTTGTTGTGTTTCTATAGTGCGGAATGATTCATCATAAAGTTCTTTGAAGGTCACTTCTGATTCACACTTTCCGACTCTATTCCTCTATCTCATAATTCGTTTTGAAATCAGTCAGAGTTGTTGTTCTTTTGAGAATTATGAGAAATAATTTGCTGATGATAGTGAAATTTGATGCCCTTCTAACTGGCGATTTATTGGAAATCATCGACAGCTCTTTTTTCCTTAATAACAGTTAGCAAAAAAGGTCACTGTTAGTCACATTTGTTCGTGTAATTGCATTTTGCCGTTGTCATCTATCTGATTTGTTGTAATTGTTGACAATATTTCACTGCGATGTGTCCATTATTTTTTCAACTTTAACTGCACGAAACTTGGGGAATAAATTTTGATTTATTTTTCAAAAAAATCTTGACAGTTACATATTTTTGGCTAAAAAACTCTCAATATATCTTCAAAAATTGGTTTGATTGATGTGGTAGCATGATATCGTCATATCAACATCGCTGTGTAAATATGTAATTCGGTGAACTGAATTGAATTTATGAAAGGGCGGAGTTTGCATGTTATGCGGAGTCAGTTTGTTAGTCGATTGCATATTGTGTTGGTCGAGCGAGCGAGCTGCACTAGCAGCAACAGAATGGGTTAACACAGAAGAACAATCACCAATCGAATAATATAATCAAACCAATCAAATAACTTCCATCTATTTTTATATAAGTGACAACTAATTGACGACACACGACATCCACTTTGCATTTGATTGTTTGTTTGTGCATATTCAGCATTTCGTTGCGTCTTTCTATATTGCTACTATCATTGTCAACACATCGGCCAACAAACATTTCTCCTGAGCGATGGTGTTGCCGGTGTGCATGGAAGATGCTGAACTATTTCCAAAGACCGCTCATCTTGATTTGTCCGCCAATTTCGGCGAGCAGTTATCCACTGAAAATTGTGTTCAGGTTTGTCGAAGATTTTTTACTAGAATCTTTACGAAAGAACATTTGAGTGGTCTAAATGATTTATGGCGATGGATTAGTGACATAACATTTTGCGTTGATTATGAATGTAAATTATGATAACGGTTCAAGTATTTCTATTGCGGTAAATTTCTGCCAAGCCTTCCAGTTGTGGTAAATTTGTTAAGAGATTGTTGACATGTGCATTCGCCCGGTTTCGTTTCTGTTTGAAATGTTCCATTTTGAAGTCCAACTATTGATGATGCAAATTCCTTTATGCTTCGCGATTTTGCTTCTCGATTGATGAAACAGAATGGCGTGTATAGAATGGCATGTAAAGGTTTCTCGGAATTAGTGCTGGAAACGATTCACATCCGAGCTGCGTATTCCATAATTACATTAATCACAATGCAGATGTACACCGAGCATAATCATACATTCCTTGAGGCGTTACAGTAAAAACTTCAATTGAATCTTTCACTGCAATGCTTTTGAATGAACGTCACGTCACGTTCAATGAATTACTCACAGCTTCAGCATTCACATTCATGCACTCTTTGAAGTTCACTTAGTATTTGTGTCGTTTCGATAAACGAAACTCACTGAATGAGAGCACTTTCTTTCGTCATGTGGAAGGAAACGTTCCAAAGAGGTGCTCTAATTATTATCCAAGTTCGCCGTAGTAAGGCCACAGATTGACATAATCGCATGATTGTTACAACATCTAATTGATTTCTGCGAATCACACCCAAAATGAACACTGCTGACTCACCTTGTCAAGTAATCTATCAATAAGTT